TTACAAAAATGAAGGAGAGGTTTAAAAATTAATACACAAATTGAGGTGTACACAAGCTAAACTACATTAAGATCTGAAAGCACTTAGAGGTGACTGGCTGCCAAATAGAGGTAGAAGGGTCAGGGAAAAAATAAGTAAGCCTGACTACTACATTCTCAAATACACTGCAGTTTGTCGTTACAGTTTTAGAATTAAGTGAAAGTCATGTAATGGGAAACATCTCAGACATATTACTCATGCTTGTATTATGACATCAAAGCAAGAAAGGTAAAAAATACTAAGAGGATGACAGCTGGAAACAAAATAAAGCCATGACTAATCTGCGAACTTTTGGACATCGTCCCTTGATAATTTAAAAGTTGATTGAACAGAAGGCAATCAGCTATTTTTATCCTCAGCTAATTTCGCATAAAAGCATCAGATATCTTCCTTCTACAAAAAAAAAAAAAAAAAAAGCCTCTTTGTTTCAGCTGTTTTAAGACAGTTTTTATCACAGCATAGCTACTTGAATCCTAAGCAAGAATAATGATAATGAGCATTTCTCTCCTATCCAAAAAGAAACAATATGACTTTCCTTGAAAATGGACATGAAATACCATATAGAATGATAATTTCTATCAGACAAATAGAGAATAATGCTCGATTTTCCTCCCTAAAATGTGATCTTCAGAAAGACAAGCTGATGAAAACAAAATAAATCATATTTGAGTTAACCAACAGGGTATTGCCTAATGCAAAAATAGTATTAAGACATACTGAAAATAGAGCAGATCCATTAAATTATTACCAAATTTACGTTACTATCAGTATGACAAGATGCAAACACCTAAATGTCCAACAGTAAGGAAAAATTAAATGATTATAGATATGGTCATACAATAAAATATTAGTGAGGTCATTAAACACATTTTTAAAAAAATCAAACATGTAGAAATAACTAAGATAAATCGAAATATAAAACTAAAAACTAACATGATGTATCCAGATCACAGCCCGATATTTTGGCAAGGATCTTTCCCAGTGTGTATTTTAACTGCTTTGGCAAGATAGAAAGCGTATGAAGGATGGTTTTTATCTGTTTATCGGTTCTCTTTCATTGTCCATAATCCGTCTTGTGCCTGCTGTTTAGTTACTATATCCTTATAAAAATCAGCTTGAAGTCTGGTAAAGATGCCTCCCAATTTGTTCTTTTGAGTTTTAAGAGTGCTTTTATCATACTGTGTCTCTCCTGTTCTCAATACTGAAGTTAGAATTATTTCGAGATCAATGCAAAAAAATGTTGGTATTTCTAAATAGGATTGCAGTAGACGTAGGATGCACTTTGGGTATGTAGACATTTACATTGTCGGTTCTGCCAACCTCACATGAGCATGGTAAGAGGTTTCACCTTTTTTACACATTGCTAATATCCTCGCTCCAGAGGTATAAGTCTCCTTGTAGATAGGCTTACCCACTGTATAAATACAATATTACCTAAGAAATTGTCTCAAAGAACTGGAAAAAAAGGGTGAGCCAAAACCAACGCTCAACCCCAGGGCCAGAAGAAATGAAAACGAACCAGAGTAAACTGAATGAGATGGTATAACAACTATACGGAAGATTAATAAAACAAATAGTCAGGTTGTTGAAAAAAATAAACAAATACCATACCCATCTTGCTAGAATAATCGAGAAAGCCATAAAGCAAGAATCTAATAAGACTCCATCAGGAAGAAAAGGGAATACAGACTGATAACCAAGAATAAACAAAATACATCTAATAAAATAGCCTGTAAAAACCTCTATGCACCAAAAAACCTTGACATGGGGAAATAGGGACCAAATTCTTAGAGCACACGCAACCTCTTAGGCCAGGAAGGGACTACAGACCAAAATCAAAGTACTGATTAAAGTACAATAACAACCTTCCTAAAGAAGAAAGTTCGCGACCAGATGGGTTCACCACCGAATTTACCAAGACCCCAGTACCAGAACTGGTGCCTAATCCTGCAAAAATATTCCACAAGCATTCCAAAAAGGATGGAAAACCTCGCCAACCATCATTAGCCTGATACCAAAACCAGGAGAAAAAGGATAAACAAAAAAAGAAAAGCGTGACAAGGGGTACCCTCAAAACTTTTTAAAGCCAGGAGCCCAGTTAACTGTCCTCAGATTGGTTTGTAGAGTACGCACTGTGGGAGCCCGTGATAAATCGTCCTGAGCTAGGCAGGAACACGGTAGTGAGCCAACCAAAACCCAGTGGACCTGGATAAATGCCCCTAGGCGGCCACATTGTGGTGTGCCGGGCCGTATTGAGGACGCCTGACCTGTAGAACCCCAATGTCCTCCATGTGACATATAGAATAGGCAAATTTCAACCAAGATATCCAGCAAACCTGAAATCAGCGTGCTTAACAGATAAATCCATCTTGATCAAAACGACTTGGGCTCAATCCCAGAGACGCCAGGGATGGTTCCAACATAAGCAACATCTAATAAAATGTAATCAAATAACCATAATAGAGCAAAATACAAGCATATATGATCCTCTTATAGACTAGAAAAGCCAGATAATGCAAAATCAACTCACCCTTTAACGGATAGGAACCCTTAACAAATAGGCAGAAGGCAGGACTTACCCTAAAAATGATAAAAGCTGGTTGGTCCGAGTGCAGTGGTGTTAATCACTAATTGATCACAACAGTTACAGATTCTCTTGTTCCTTCTCCCTCCCACTGCTCCACTTGACAAGCCTTAAAAAATAAAAAATAAAAAATAAAATAAATGATAAAGCCATATATGACAAACCCACAGCCAATATTGTACTGAATGGGGAAAAATTCAAAGCATTCCTGCTTAGAACTGGAACCAGACAAGGTTGCCCTGTATCACCACATCTATTCAACTTAGTGCTGTAAGTCCTAGCCAGCGCAAAATTAGACAAGAGAAGGAAATCAACGGCATCCAAACAGAGGTAGAAGAGGTCAAACTGTGCTTTGCTGACGATATGATCTATATACTAGAAAACTCCAAAGATCCTACCACAGAGACTATTGAATTGATAAAAAACCAGCAAGTCTCAGGTTACAAAATCAGTACAGAAATCAGTAGCATTCCTACATGCCAACAACAGTCAAACTGAGAACCAAATCAAAGACTCAATACCCTTCACCATAGCAACAAAGAAAATGAAATACTTAGGAAGATATTTAACCAAACTTTGGCTTAATAAATCCCCATTGATTGAGATCTTTGCCTTAGTCACTTATTTGGATTATCAAAAGGGACACAACAACTTCAAATTTTCTGGTATTTCTTGAGAATTAGGCTGAGTCAGTTTAGCATTTAACACTGTATCACAGATGTCATGTAATTTCTGGTCCTTAGGAAATCTTAGAACTTGGCAAGAATGGCTCCTCAGAATCATCGCATATTAATGAAGAGGAAAAGAACCCAGGAATAAAAAAGGAACACTTCCCTTTCTCTTCACTTAAGTTCCACAAATTTTTTATATTAAATAGAAAGGAGTTATAACAAAGACATAAGGGCTCAAACTGAAAAACTCTTAGAAGAAACATAGGGGGGAATTATCATGAACAAACTTTGGCAATGATTTGGCAGTGATTTCTTGGACATAACACTAAAAGCACAGACAACAAAAGAAAGAATAGATGATAAGTTGATTTCATGAAAATTAAAAACTTCTGAGCATCAAATGGCACTGTCACCAGCCTGAGCAAGAGTGAGACCACATCTCTATTAGTAATAGAAAGAAATTACTTGGACAGCTAAAAATATATAGAAAAAATTAGCCAGGCATGGTGGCACATGCCTGTAGTCCCAGCTACTCCGGAGGCTGAGGCAAGAGGATTGGTTGAGCCTGGAAGTTTGAGGTTGCTGTGAGCTAGGCTGATGCTATGGCACTCTGGGCAACAAAGTGAGACTGTTCTCAAAAAAAAAAATGGCACTGTTAACACAGTGAAAAAGCAGCCCATGGAATGAGAAGAAAATATTAGTGAATCATATATCTGATCAGGGTTGGTATCCAGAATATATAAAGAATTCTTACAACTCAACTACAGAAAAATAAACAACTGAATTAAAAATGTACAAAAGACTTGAATAGATATTCCACCAGAGAAAATACATGGCCAATAAGCACATGAAAAAATAATCAACATCACTAATCATTAGCAAAATGCAAATCAAAATCATAATGACATACTATTTTACACTCATTAGGATGATAATTATGAAAAAAAAACTCCAGAAAATAACAAATGTTGGCAAGGATGTGGAGAAATTGGAGCTCTTGTGCATTGCAATTGGGATTGTAAAATTGTGCAGCTACTGTGGAAAATGATATGGTGATTCCTTAAAAAATTATGCATAGAATTACCATATGATCCAGCAATTCCACTTCTGAGTATATACCTGAAAGAAGAGAAAGCAAGGACTTGAAAAGGTCTTTGTACACTCATGTTCATAGCAGCATTATTCCCAATAGCCAAAAAAAGGTGCAAGCAATGCAAATGTCCATTGATAGATGAACAGATAAACAAAATGTGGTACGTACAGTGGAATATTATTCAGCCTTAAAAAGGAAGGAAATATAGGTATATGCTACAACATGGTCATAATATGATGAATATTGTATGATTTCTCTTATATGATGTTTCTAGAGTAGTCAAATTAATAGAGACAGGAAGTAAGATGGTGACTGCCATGGCTAGGGAAAGAAGGAAATGGGGAATCAATGTTTAATTATTATAGAGTTTCAGGAAAATGAAATAATTCTGGAAGTGAATGGTAGGTCATGTTTGCCCAACAATGTGAATGTACTTAATGCTACATACCTGTGCGTTTAAAAATGGGTAAGAGTAAATTTTATGAGTATTTTACCGCAATTTAAAAAAAGAAGCTAAGAAAGAATAATACAAGAATTATCTTAAATGTTAATTTTTTAGCTTGTTGTATTGGATTAATATTCATCACTTGGAAAAAACTTTTTTTCTTCCTAGCAGCCTCAAGATGAAACCGAGCAAGATAAACCTTTGTTACAGTAAGTATAGTAATTTTTGGCTTCCTTATAACATAGGTATTTTTTTGGTCATTTTGTACATCTGAGTATTCATTTTTTAAGAGTTTTAGAATGATTCTGTTTTTGAATGATTGCCCCTTTAGCAGCATAAATATATGTTGTTTTACAAACATTCTAGATGTTTAATTTCATAAGAATGATTGAATCAGATTAAGGTAAATTCATTCTCTGTCAATATTATTTAAAAAATGAATTTAAAGCAAAACATGAAAGAAGAGTTTGTAAAGTTTACTGAAATTAGACTTCCTACAACTATTATACTTAAAGAGACTATCTCTTCAGTTCTTTTAAAACAGTGGTTCTCAAAGTATGGTCTATGGGACCCTGTGGGGTATACATGAGATTCTTTTAACAGCGTCTGTGAGGTCAAAACTATTTTTGTAGTAATACTAACTCATTTGCATGTTTCATGCTATTTATGTAAGAGTGGTAAACTCACTAGGTGCTCACAGCATGGGTGGAGAAAGATTTCTCACACAAGGATTAGGATATATAAAAGTAAAAGGTTTATTTTATTTTCTTAAGAGAATGAGAGTGAGAGAAAGAAGGGAGGGGGAGAAAGAGAGAGAGAAGGGAGAAGGCATGGCACCCCAAAGAAAGAGAAAGAAGGTACCTGACCAGAGCCAAGTGGCTTGCCATTTTTTATCGGGACAAAGAGAAGGGGGAAAAAAAGTGATTGCTATCAGTTTATAACAGAAGTGGCTGTGAGATGTCAAAGAGTTGGCTTCTCCCATTTTCCTTTCCCCTGGACACAGGCTTATCACTGGGGATGTGATCTTGTTGGTGATCTCGCCCTTAAGGATATAGTTTTGGGCAGGAACTGAGGCTGGAAGCTCACATCCCTGCTGTCCACTCAGGAACTCTTCAAGGCCATTAAGCAAACTCAAAAACAGTTTAATATATTGGTCTGGTGAAAGTAAAAGAAAAGGATCTACATTTCCCTTCTGTCTGCTCAGCTCTTTTCAGATGTGAAAACAGAACCCTGCGGGGTGCTCATTGGTGAGAGAGCTCATATGACTGATCTTAGCTGTTACTGAGAGACTGTGGGTTAGATAATTTTTTTTTCTGTTATTTCATTAGCAAGGCTGTCCTTTCAGTTTACATTCACATGACACTGCTAAAGCAGTTGTGGGTAAAATACTGGAGCCTTAATTGGAATCTGAGCAGTGACACCAAACAGTAGGCATCATGTTTTTCACTGCCATGGACTTGCAGTTAAAAAAACGACAAAAAAAGCCAGTTTCACTTAACACATTTGTGTTTGGTAAGGCAGAAGAAGTTACTAGTTTTATTAAGTCTCCATCTTTGGTTATATATCTTTTTAATATTCTGTATGATGAAATAGGAAGTATGCTTAAAGCATTTCTGTGCATAATTGTGTGATGGCTATCTTGAGGAAAGCACTTGTACACTTTTTGTTGTTGTAAGTGTTGTAGAAAACTAGTTTTACCTTTTTATTTAACTTGAAAGAATGACTGACAAACTGTTCATTCACATTTGGGTATGTGGCAGACATTTTCTTGAAAACAAATGAAGTAAGCTAGAAGGAAAACAGCTGATGATATTTGTTGCCACTGACACAATTCAAACTTTCAAGTTAAAATTTTGGAAAATGGTGTCCACCACCTTGACCTTGATGGATTTCCAATACATAAAATATTCTGGTGAGATCACTGGTTACATTTACAAAGGTGATTTTAAGTATTTTATAATGAAATGTGTCAACATTGGGAAGACATGAATAACTCAGTGAATCAGTATTTTCTAAAAGACCCATGCATAATGTTACAAAATCATGAACAGGTAAAAGATCCATTCAAAGTGCCAGATAGACCAATGGGTTTTAATGTAACAGAATACAAAAAGTTCATTAATTTTATTTCAGTTTCTGTATTTTAAGTAACTTAAGAAACTTATCATTTGTAGAATTTTGGTGTAATATTGAACAAGAATATTTATAGAGTTGCAGGGAAAGTTTTCTGTCTGCCCACTGAAGGTTTGCTGAAAATGAACTGACAAAAGGCAGATTAATTTTTCAAAAAAGCACATGAAACTTATGTACACGGCCAGGGGGCTGGGGGGTGGGAATCACAAGGTGTGTGGTTACTAAATAACCCAATGAAATCCGATGCTTATATACCCTTCTTCTAGGGGAAGGGGAGATGGGAGGTGTAGGAGTAGATGATTTTCAGGGGAAATGAATGAGACCAAAGAACTATGGCCCCAAAGAACCATGGTCTGGGATAGGTTTCTCTGAGCTCTGAAGGAGGTGGCAGGAAGGTAAGGGGTGGAACTTCACTGTGAACAAACTTCTTTTATTATGCAGAGAAGGTGCCAGGTAATCTTTTGGAGCTGTCTTCAGAAGAATAGATGAAAAGTTTGGGCATGGTATGGGGGTGGGGGGTTAGAGACTTTTAGTCTTTTCTCTGATGATTAATCTTTTCTGATTATTTAATGAGATTCCTGGGGAGGGAACTTAAGACAACTGCATTATTTTAAGATGTTTTCTGAGTGAGGTAAGGAAATTCTGAAGAGAGTCCTTCCAGGCACTTTGGGAAAGAAAGGATCAGAGAGACAAAGGCAGGGTGGCAGGATAGGGAGGGGAAAATCAGAGAGAGAGAGACCTTGGTTCTGAGCCTTATATTTAGAGCCTTTCAATTTTCTTTAACTCAAAGCACTCAGCATGCCAAAGTGTCATATTTGGGGTTGTTATTTTTTATGCCCCCCAAATATTCATAATTATCCAAAAAGACTACTACAATACTCTTCCTTTTTTCAACTGCATATCTGCGTGAGGCCAGATTTTTGTTACATACTTCAAACAAAACAATACATAGCAATAGATTGAATGCAGTAGCAGATATAAGATGATAATCATATTCTATTAAGCTGTACCTTAAAAAGATCTTTTAAAATGCAAAACATTACAACTTTTGTCACTAATTTTTTTATTTTGGAAAATGTAATTTTTCATAAAAATGTGTTTACATGTTCCTGGATTATTGCTGTCATTTAAAAATTAACAATTAAATGTTTTATTCATTTAAATTTCTAATATTTAAGTATAAGTAAATCTAAGCCACATAAACAAAAGCTCTTTGGGATTATCAATAATTTCTGAGTGTAAAGGAGTCTGAAGATCAGAAAGTTTGAGAACCACTATTCTAAAATAACCCTTTTACCCAATATATTAGCAATATGAATTCATTTACAGAAATGGGAAAAAAAAAGGCTGAAAAAGACTTAACATAATTTCCCTATCTTACTGCCTGGAGAACCATTGTTGACATATTTGTACAATGTATTTTAGGCTTTATATACATTTTTGGTTTTGTTCATACTTTCTACAGAATTGGGATCATCCTGCAGATAGTTTTATAACCTGTTTTCAAATTTTAAGTAATATTTTTATCTTAGTTATTTTCTAATGTTGTTAATTTTTTTAAAAATGTGTTTTAATGACCTCATAATATTTTATTGTGTGACCAACTATACTATAATTCATTTAATTTTTCCTCTACTGTTGGACATTTAGGTTGTTTGCAATCTTGTCTAATATAAATAACTATTTGTAATAATTTAGATGGAACTCTGCTCTATTTTCAGACTTGTGTCTTAAATACTATTTTGCAATTAAGGCAAATACCCTGTTGTTAACTCAAAATATGATTTTATTTTGTTTTCAATCAGCTTGTTCTTTCTGAAGAATCACATTTTAGGGGAAAAATCAGCATTATTCTCTATTTGCCTTATAGAAATTATCATTCTATATGAGTAGTTTCATGTCCATTTTCAAGAAAGCTCATATTGATTTCTTTTTGGACAGGAGAGAATGCTCAATTTATTATTCTTGCTTAGGATTCAAGTAGCTATGCCTGGTGAATAAAAACTGCTCTTAAAACAGCTGAAACAAGAGGCTTTTTTTTTTTTTTTTTGTAGAAGGAAGATATCTTGATTGCATTTATGCAGTAAATTAGGCTGAGGAAAAAAATAGCTGATTGCCTTTCTTCAATCAACTTTTAATTATCAAAGGGCAGATGATCAAAATTGCAGATTAGTCATGGCCTTTATTTTGTTTCCAGTGTCATCTCTTCAGTATTTTTTACCTTTTCTTTGTTTGATGTCAAATACAAGCATGATAAATAATGTCTGAGATGTTTCCCATTAATGACTTTCACTTACTTCTAAAACTGTAACGACAAACTATCAGTGTATTTGAGAATGTAGATAGTCAGACTACTTAATTGTTTCCCTGACCTTTCTACCTCTATTTGGCAGACAGTCACCTCTAAAGTTGCTTTCAGATCTAAATGTAGTTTAGCTTGTGTACACCTCAATTTGTGTATTAATTTTTAAACTCTCTCCTTCATTTTTGTAATCACTTAAAAGGTAAGTGTTAATGAAATGATAATAACTGTAAAAATAATTAGAATGATGTAGCACAAATATATCCTGTTTGGAAAGCCCTTTAAGTGAAAAATGTTTAAATTGTATTTGAATAAGAAACTGTGTTTTTTTTCTTTCCATTTCAAAATTTATTTTTATTTATTATTAATTGATTCATTTTTTTAGGACTAGAAAGAATTATCCAATGTTCACTGTGTCATTTCCACAAGCTGGACTTTCACTGAACCACCAAAACACTGGAGGTATGTTTTTATGGGTGAAATCATATAAAGAAAATTTATCTTTGCCTAAAAGTAGAAGGCTTAGTTAGATATGAATTTATTTACAACTAGGTTGGTCTACTATACCTATTTTTTTTAAGAGATAGGGTCTTGCTATGTTGCCCAGGCTGGCCTTGAACTCCTGGACTCACACAATTAATTCTCCTGCCTCAGCCTCCTGAGTAGCTGGGACTACAGGCATGTACCATCATACCCAGCTTACTATACATTTTTAAATATGAAATCAGTGTTGCTATTGGCCTTGGATCATGCTGTATAGAATTGCTTATGAGAGCAACAGCTCGGGTGCAATCAATCAGTACCTGCTACTCCAAATGTGATTTTGGAGCTCAAATTTGAAAACAATGTTTGCTTCCTCTGTTTATAACATTTTAAATATATATGTCAAGGCTTTCTTGACTAGCAGTCACATAGGCCTTGGTGTTGTCTTGGTGTCAGCTATATCAGGGGATGACTGTCTTTCTGAGGTGTCTCCCAGTAATGGATCCAGAGTGAATTTCATGTATGTTGTGTTACAGTGTAGTAATTATTCATAGTGTTCAACAAAACCGTGTATTATAAGAAAGGACATGATAAAAAATTGGAAAAGATAAATTTAAAAATCTTTCTCTTCTCCTGCTCTGTTGTTACTACAACAAAGCAGTACCACTTTTGTCCACTACCAGCTCTTACATGTGCTTTTAGTGTGTAGAGTTTGGTCTGTAATATTATTTGTTTATTCTTCTAACAAATATTTATTGAGCCTTATATGTGCCAGGTGTGTGGGTACTATGAGTGTATGAATGCTAAATAAACAAGGGATTCTTAAAGGATAGGTGACCCATCTTGGAGCATGAAGATATCATGATGAGTCTGAACATCCTATCTTTGCTGAAAAGCCAGGATACTTTCAAGGATGTCTGGGGGCAGTGCTGAAAGAATAAAGGGCTAGTTCATTGGTGCTTCTATTGGCCAAGCTGTGACAAATTAAGTAGGGGAAAAAATCCAATAGTTTATAGTTGATTAAATAATTTTGAAAAGACCACGAGTTCATAATGATACTCAAAAAATGTTAAGAGTTTACAAAACATTGTCTTATTACCAAAAAGTCACTATAGGTAGGATATTTAAAAGTTTTAATGATGTTTAGAAATAGGGACCTGTTAATATATGTGCATTTTGGTTTTTTTAATTAAATACATGTCTATTTATAAAACATAGGATATTTTTGTTTATCACTGTTTAAGTAGAGAAAGAAGAAAACAGAGAACTCTGATTAAGTCAAGTAGTCCTGGAAAAAGTAAGAATTGTAACTAAGAAAGGAAGGTCCATGCACACCATATAAGCAATGACCCATAAAACATGTAAGAGGTGGGGTCCCCACATGACAAATTAATCCAACTTCAAATTAGGGAGACTTTTTTGCAGGGATTAGATCCTTATCTCTTAAGAAATGAAAGCCTTAGGTGGCTCTGCTTATCATGATAAGTATTAAATGGCTGGCATAAGTTTCCACTGTTACTAACAGGACAAATCAGTATATAGTAAATCACAGGCCAAAAGCTTTTGTAACACTGACCATGTACAACTTGAAGCATTTTGGGGCAAAACATTAGGTTATAAAAAATAATCTTTGTGAAGTTTAAGGTATTTTCTTATGATAGTAAAGTCAGATAATTCACTGCCCAGGTTTGCATCATCTTGAGAGAAATAGTCCCATACCCCAGCAGCAAATCAGTAGTCACTAACCCAGATCTTGTCACCTTGGTTGGTCCAAGAAGTTATTTGTTTTCCTTTGGCTCTGAAAGAATTTCTGTAATCCTGGGAAGGTGTCAAAATAAATATTATTTTAATCTTAAGAAGGTATAGGAACAGGTGTGGAAATAAAGAAGAATTAGTTTCACCAAACATAGTGTTATTTTAGAATTAGTGTAAGAGCAGTAATACATTTTATAACCATTGTATTTATGCGCACTTTGTAATCATGTCAAAATGTTAGTTTAGATTGTTTAAGAGAGTTTAAGTTTATAATCAATATTTAAATGTTAAAGAAACACTAATTTTCAAGTTTCCATGTCTTATATATAGAAGTTAAATAAATTGGCCATTAAACAAATATAAGTATAAATAGAAATTGATGTTCCTGTCTAAATACAAAAAGACATTGTGATTTTTAAAAAGTCAAATTAATGTCAAACAACCTAATGTAATTCAGACTATGCCAGTTAAGTCCTCCAAATTTAGTAGAAACCTATATAGCACCTTTTGTAAGATACAGTTATAGATAAACCAAAAGAGTCATGTTTATAAAGCTGTAGAGGTGCCATCATAGAGGCTGAAGTCCTTTTTGGCAAAGACGTCTTGAAAAATTTGAGACAAAGATGTCACAGGTGATATCATGCCTTTGGCATTCCTTTTTCTCCCTTGGGTTTTGACCGTGCTTACAGGTGTCAGCAGTAGTTACACAGAAGATCCATTCCCATTTTTCTCATACCTAATCCTAGCATTTATTCAAAGCAAAACAAAACAAAACAAAGAAACAAACAAACAAGGATTTCACTAGGTCATGTATTTCCCATAGCTCCAACCTCCTGCCTATTTGGCCCTTTGAGAGCCGTTAATGCCTTGTGGTGCCTGGTATCTGTGTGCTGTTATCACGCTTCCTTGAACTTCTGAGTCACAAGTCTTATTAGGTGTTACTTTAAAAGTGTCTCATGCACTAGGATTATTGCTTTGTGATATTTCTTGCTGCCCAAAAGCTACTGTGACTAGAGACCCATAGATTTGGCACTTCATTGCAGCTCCCTCTTGCCTTTACTCCTTTCAGAGTGTTCATAACAAGAAGCTCATTTTATTATAATCCCGGACATTAGGTTAAATCACATGTAAGTAAACTATTAAATTGTTAGCTTTTGTAGCTGACTCAATTCTAATACAGTTTGTCTTCTCTCTCTCAATTCAAAGGGTAATTTTAACCAAATTGTAGAAATATAAAAATAAACAAACTATTTTAAACAAATATAATAGCATTGGCTTTAAAATGCTTGTGTGTAAGTTAAAGTGTATGTGGAAGTTAGAACTTAGCTCCTCTGTTCATTTCATTGCATTTGACCCTTTAGAATTATTTCTCATACATACCATTATATTTTATCTCTCTCAAGTGATAAGTAGAAAATATACAAAATCTTTTAATAATTTATTAAAGGATAGACAAGAATTCAAGAAGAATTCTTTTTGTATTTGCAAAAACTTTTAAGTAAAATTTATAGTTAGAAAAAATAATTCCTTCTAATTATTTATTTTTAATATAGTAATCAAATTACTATAAAATATTTTATTAATATATCAAATTTTAAAAATAGTAACTTGGCATAAAAGTGATTATTTTGATGATAAAGTTGTTAAAGATAACATGGGAGAAGATGTCTATAGGGTTCTTTCTCTACAACTCAGAAAAGGAAGAAGAGGGTTGCTGGAAGTTAGCTATGCTTCCAGCAAAGCAGGTCCCAAGGCAGGATCATCACAAGGGATTTGGAAATAATAGGAAATAAAGAAAGAAATAATATAGATGGAGAAATGATTGAGATGGAGACAAAGTGTAGTTTAAATGATGGGGGAGTTAAGGGGTCTCTAACATTCCCGTGAACTGTGAGACCATGAGTGAAGTCCCACATCAGTATTTATTGTTACAGCAAATAGTTGTCTTTTGTTAGAGAATTTTATGTATACAGTTCAGTTTTTGAGGTTTCCAGAGGAACCTTACCTAATTTTGTCTACAAGAATAAACAGTTACAAAATTTTTCTAAGATAAGCATGTTAAGCCCTAAGTTACAAACAGACCTAGCTGAGCATACAAATTAAAGATAAAATGGATAAAATGAGAACATTGAGTCTGTGTACTACTCTAATCTACTTCTTCTAAACACAGAGACATGTAGTCAGGAGTGAAACAGGAATAGCCTTGAAGTCTAGGGTAGTTCCAGCTTCATGTTGTCTGCTGGGCAGGCATTTTAATCAGCTTCTTTGCCAAGGACCCAAACCAAGCTTCTGCCTTGCAAAAAAACTCAAGGCAATGGCTGGCAGCAAAGAAGAAATGTTGCTTTGCAAACCTCCTCTCACAATGCCTCCCTTGTTGGAAGCAGCTTCTATTTTGTGAACTAACATGTCCACAGATTCCTTCAAGACAAAGCCCTGCAAAATCTCTGAAACTTTTCACATCTCTTAGCCTATTTCCCAACAGAGGGTGAAATCTTTTTCTCTGTTTTTGAATTCTAAGCCACCAAGGATCTGAAACTTTATTTTTAAAAAATTTCTTGCAAAAGCTAGTTGCAGATATATCTATTGTTTTAAAGGTGTTTCTTTCATTGGTATTAAAATTATAAGTGACTAGAGATACAAAATTTTAAACAAGATACAGATAGTATATCATCACTGGTTGACACAAAGGATTCTAAAGCAACAATAAGAAATTATTTATTCTTAACAACGTTTTGCTCTTCATCCTGTGAGGGAGTGGAATGCCATGATTTTAACCTGGCCAGTTGATTTTCATGACTTTTCACCATCAAATGGCAAAGGTGAAATGAGGAAAAAAGAAAAAGTTTTTAGAGAATGTGAAGCTTAGCTCAGCAAGTGTGTGTGTGTGTGTGTGTGTGTGTGTGTGTGTGCGCGCGCTTATTTTTTTCCCCTGAAAAACCTGTCTGGCTTGTGAGGATGCATTCTGAGGTTCAGCAGATAATTATTTGCTCTTACTGTAGCTATGTAGATATTACCTAATCAAAAGAAACCAAAAAAATGACTCAGATATATGCTTGAAATGCCAGTAAGTCCTGAATTCCTAACCATGTATGTCAGAATACCTGGGTCTTGATGATGAAAGTAGAAGGCAAAAGGAGTGGAGAAATATCTTTTTTTTCCCAGATCTTCCTTCAGCCTAACTTGATGTAAATTGCTTTCTGCCAGCTAGCTCAGAGGGGGTGGGGTAAGAGGGATAGTGAAGTTGAAGTCACAGAGGCAAGGCAGCATCCTCCATATTCTCTAAGATGTTCTCCTGATTCCTTTTGGCCCATACATGGGGTGTTCCTTTTCATGCCTAACTCCATATGGCATTAATTCATTTAAGCTTCTTACATGTAATAGAAGAGATAATGACACTGAGAAAAGTGTATACAATTTTTCTTTGTATAGTTAGAAATACTAAGAATAATTCAGCCAAAATAGTTAGGCTGGTTTTTAGTTAAGATAATTTCAAATAATTACAGTTTTGTTTGGGTCCATATAAAATATTTTTTTAAGAAATGGAGGAATTTTATAATTTCATTGCCAAAATAATATTAATACTTTTATATCAATAAATTTATATAATATTTATAAAATACTTGATGTGTCATTTGATGTCTGAGGGAGTTCAGGTTATATGATTATGAAATATTGACTGAGAGGGTATGTTTTTAGAGCTTTAATAAAACTGGAATGAAAACATTATTCTTTTCTAGGGCCTGAGGCTGAAGATTCTGAAGTTTTGTCACACCTAGAAAAGGTTGGTCTGTATAATGGTGATTAACCATAGATCATGGATTTAGATTTTTAAAACTATGTTGATTAAAGTATTAAGTTCATTTAGACTCTCGCCTAGGCAGGAATATGACTAAACCATTTCAATAGATAGAACTCTATTCTTGTCTAATTATCTCTTCCAGTATTTATTCTTCCTTATCTCTAATAAAATATTTCTTGATTGTATTTTTTATCCAGCATTGTAAGTCTCTTATTCTTTATCTAGAGTAGAAATATATATTAATAACTTGTTATCAAACTAGTTCCTGAGATGATATAGTAAAATTTCTTCTGTTGGTTTGTCTGTTACCCTAGTTCCTTTAATATTTTGTGCTATATATTGCTTTCTCATCTTCTAGTTGCTAATCAGTATCAAGGGCCTGCTTTGGCTTTGCTTTCTGTTTGTTGCTATGGAGAATCAGAGGACAAAAGACTGGCTGTGCCCACAGTGGACTCACACTCTCCTTAGGGATGCCAAGCAATCAAAGACCTCCCCAGGACAGCCCTACCATAATTATACCTTACTTCATCTCAGCTGTACCTTATACATTCCCACCTCCATGCTTTTTCTCAAGTCAGGAGCCAGAGGCAGGGGAAAGAGCATAAAATGTGGAACCAGATAGGTCTAGGTTTCAAGGATAATTCTTTTTTACATCTGTAAAATACCAACAATGGTATCTGTTTCACAGAGTTATTGTGAGGACTAAGCAATGATGGTTCATGGTGTTTGGCACCTAGTTGGTGCTTAATAAATATGTGTTCCTCCTTTTATTTATTCTTTCACAAATGTTTAATATCTGGCTCAAGTCCCTTCTCTTCGGTGGATCTATTTCAAATGATTCTGGTGATCTTGACCAAAGTATTTGCTCCCTCTCTAGCATAATTATTCACTGACTATATCAGTGTTTCCTGACCACTTGCACCATATGACACTAATAGATCTGAAGAAAAAGATTTGTTGGACAAAAAAGTCTGGAGAGCACTGTGTCCTAAAGTCTCCTCAGAGATTTACAATGCACATACTCAGAAAAGTCCTATGCTAAAGTAACTTGTTTAACTTTGTTTGACCAAGCATTTTTCAAGCAATCATGAAAATCATTCCCTCCATTTCTCCCCTCCCCAGAAAATTTATTCTTACAAGATGCTAGGCTCTATGGAATTGATTAATATACACTGGTTTATGCTATACATTTGATTCCATAAGTTTTGTGACATTATTTGTATTCTGGTTAATGTCTCAGGTATTTACACCTTGAATCTTCACTTAGAAATTAAATTGCTTTAGGACAAAGCCCATTGTCCACACTTTATTACACCTAGTGCCTTGAATTTAGTAGACATAAGGACTTCAAATAGGAGTCACCTTGAGCTGTGATTTACAGAATGGATAAGATCTGGTTCTTGAATTTCTTCCAAATCCCTTTTGTCTTTCTGAACAAATTATAGATAGCATTACTGGTAAACAGATATATCTTCTTAAGCTTATGTGCTATCTATAGATAAATGGTGGCAGGTAGAAAAGGCAGGAGGAAGAATAAAATGGTTTTCATTTCTCTTATTCAAATCTGATCAGAATATTAGAAGGCTTATAAATTACTGCGTATCCTATCAAAGAGGAGGTGGATTTGATTTTGGGAAAAAGCTGAAGTCATTGAAACCTATTCTTTTATTTAAGGTCAATCAATTTAACAATTTTTTAGTGTTAGAAAAAAATTCAGTGCCTTTGATGCACAGTATTTTCTTTAATGGCATATAAACTGATTTTGAGGCCGGGCGCAGTGGCTCACACCTGTAATCCTAGCTCTCTGGGAGGCCGAGGCGGGCAGATTGGTCCAGGTTAGGAGTTCGAAACTAGCCTGAGCAAGAGCGAGACCCCATCTCTACTATAAATAGAAAGAAATTAATTGGCCAACTAATATATATAGAAAAAAAATTAGCCGGGCATGGTGGCGCATGCCTGTAGTCCCAGCTACTCGGGAGGCTGAGGCAGGAGGATCACTTGAGCCCAGGAGTTTAAGGTTGCAGTGAGCTAGGCTGATGCCATGGCACTCACTCTAGCCTGGGCAACAAAGTAAGACTCTGTCTCAAAACAAAAAAACAAAAAAACCCTGATTTTGAAAGCAATTTCAAAAAGAGGGATTTTAACAGTATTTTGAGCATTGGAAACATTGTGAGAATAGCTATAAACTATTAAGGTGATGTCTTTGAAAAGTAAATGGTCATTTAGAAATGTTAAGTTTTGTGTTTTTTAAAATAACCACAACCTAGAGCCATTAATTTATAGCCAGGGCTTATAATATTAACACAGAACTGTGCCCTCAATTCTCCTCTTTTTTCCTTGGACCTCCTGTTCTTTGGCTTTTTTGTTTCACATTTACTTATTCATACACAGGTGGGGAATAAAAAGAAGATGAAATTACACCAATTTTGTTCCTAGTTAATAATTTTTATAAAATAAAATAGAAATTTTTGGCAAGGGAAAATTTTATAACCATTAACTGCTGTGAAGTTTTGAGATCATCTGTTAATTTAACTGTTATTCATGCCATCTCTGCCTCTTCTGTTACCACAGATAATTTAAACTTAGTGGAATGATTTGCCACCTGCAATTATGGTCCAGCTAATTTTACCCTTGGTCCACTATTAAATGTTTAACCATGTGTTCAGTAATGAGTGATTTGGTATAGGAAAGTATTAAAAAGTGTTGTTTTATTTATGTAAGGGGAGAAGTGTTGATAAAAATTTTGAGGATAACTTATAAATAAGATAAACTGTAAAGCTATAAAGTTTTCATTTTAAGTACTTTATTGGATATGCTGTAATGATGTAATTTCTGTTTGAAATACACAGAACCTAAGTGAAGATGGAGACTCCCCTGAAGTTAGCCTTATTTCAGGTACTTCTGTTACGGTATCTGAAGTGGTTGCTATAAAGGAGAAATCATTAATAGCACCAGAGAAGATCTTAGCAGCACCAAATACATTTTCTGAGCCTGGAAAGGAAATCACATTGACTATGACTTCTGAAGAAATTAAAGATGAAGAAAACTCTCTTGAAACTTTTGTGTCTGCCTTAGAAAGGTTACTGACATCACCAGAAAGTACCCAGGAGGAAAGATTGTTTGAAATAATCAATGATTTTGATCATATAGAGTTGATGAACCCATTGAGTAGCTCTCCTAGTTCCATATCAATACCTGTGAATGCCTTGTCAGCATGTCATAGAGATTTACTAGAAAATACAAAGGATGATGCATTGCCAGCTGAATTATTGGCATCCCTGAACACATTGTCAGAAGCCAAGATGAAACCCATCTGTCATAGAAAAGAGGGAGGCAGCATTGTCAATGCTGGAAATGAATATTTGGAAGTGGAGTTCAATATGTCTCAGACCAGTGAAGATGGTACCCAAATAGTGAATTTTGAGTCTATTTGTTCTACTCCACCATTTGAGCAAGGTTCCACATTAACTAAGCTTCAGGACAATCATCTATCAGTGGAGCAAGTAGGTACAAATATGAGCCTATGATTTTGCCTTTTATAGTAACATTTAAAACATTTTCATTGTGTTAAATTAAAATCTTCTACCCAATATCAATATCCAGAAGATAACTTTGTGACTTTGCAGCATACAGTGATCTTTATCGAAATTCCTAGGGTAGAGATTTTAAGGAGTTAGGAAGTTACAATTGATAGATTTTTTTCCCCTGACAGACCTGAGAAGACATATCATTAGATTGCTTGTATATATAAGAAAAGAGTTCTTTACCAGAATTTTCTGTTAGCTCAGAAAATCACTATGTCTGCACAGTAGAGATGGGATACCCCACATTTATTTATAGTTGGACATAGAATATATGCAGTTGGGCTACTAGGGGAAGGAAAAAAATTATGCCTAGCTTAAGCAGAACTTTGCCTTTTATGTCTAAAAATACTGTCAGGTAGCTAAGCTGTTGGGGTTTAAAAATTCCTGCCGTATTATGGCTGTAGGCCCTATAATGTCCTACCACTCACCAAGTCCTTTTTTTATGTTGACATTGTCTTTTTTTCCTAATAACATTTAAAAATTTAAACAGTTACAGAGTTACATAACAATATAATAACAAAAAGTCCTCCACAAATCCGCTCTTTTTTTTTTGAGACAGAGTCTCAGTCGGTTGCCCGGGCTAGAGTGCTGTGGCGTCAGCCTGGCTGGCTCACAGCAACCTCAAACTCCTGGGCTCAAGCAATCCTTCTGCCTCAGCCTCCTGAGTAGCTTGGACTACAGGCATGCACCACCATGCCTAGCTAATTTTTTCTATATATTTTTAGTTATCCAGCTAATTTCTTTGTTTTTTTTGTTTTTTTTGTTTTTTTTTTTTAGTAGAGACAGGGTCTCGCTCTTGTTCAGGCTGGTCTCGAACTCCTGAGCTCAAAGGATCCACCCGCCTCAGCCTCCCAGAGTGCTAGGATTACAGGTGTGAGCCACTGCGCCCAGCCCACAATTCCACTCTTTAGAGATAATCACTGTTAATAGCTTGGTGTATCTGTCTCCAATTATTACTATCTTATATAAGTTTATTTTATACAAATGGGATTATTTTATACATAATGCTTTGCATCTTATTTTATAAATTTAATAATATATCTTGGTTATCTTTCAGTGTCAGCAAATGTAGCTCTACTTAAGTCTTTTAATTTGCTGAGTAGTATTCCACTGTATGAATGTCTTGTAATTTATTTATTTAACCAGTTCATTATTGATAGTCATTTGGATTGTTTTCTTTCTTTTCCCATTACAAAAATGTTCTTAGGAACACCTTGGGAAGATTTAGATAACATAATTCTGAATTCATGTTGCATCATGTGCACCTGCAATAATACTTCCTGCAGTTCTGCTCAACAAATCTCAAAACTGACAAATAGGGTAAAAAAAAAAAAATCCAGAAAAAGAGAAACTAATTATGGAGATAGGACATACAGATTAAACATTCCATTGTTTTAATATGAAAGGAGGGAATATGAGTAAAGTATAGGAAATTATGACTGGTATTGGTAAAGTGAGCACAAACTTAGCAAGTCTTCAAAAGAAAAGAAAAAAGAAGCCTTTTTAAAAGTAGAAATGAGACTGACTTAGAACAAATCAAATCAAATACTCTTACTCAGCTGTAATAAAATATGGAACTTGTTACCTTGAGAAGCTTTGCAAACTGAATATGTAAATAAGCTCAAGAAAGGTTTAGATGATATGTATAAAGAATAAATATCCTCATGGAAGTTAAATCTATAATGAACTATTAAGTGAAAGTTGGAGCAATTCATGATATACTGTTAACCTTTTAGAATCAATGTAATGGAGGTTATGTACTATCTATCCTGTTCCACAAAATATCACTTACTCCTGCTGTCAGATAACAAAATACTAGGCTGAATAGACCATTGATTTGGCCTAGTGTGACATTTCTAATGTTGTATGGGTCTCTCATCATTCTACATTTACTATTTCCTGCAAAATTAAAGTACCCAGAGTGACCATAGCCTTGCTCTTAAATTTTAAGGATCAATATTGATCAAAATCATTTTTATCTATGCTCTTCTTATCTTAAGGTTTTAAATCTACAATGTCCTTTATTACATTAATTATTATAAAATTTTTCATTATGTTCACGTATGTCTAATGAATTCTTGTACTTTCATCCTATAAGAGTTTAATCAAAAGACAAGATAAAATTTAACTTCTAGTTTTAATTTTTTTGTCATGTTGTAACTAATTCTTTGTGGATATATTTATATTTTTGTAGACCCTAGAAGACCCAGATTCATTTGGATTGCAAACTTTGGCTCATCAAAATGTCACATCTTGTAAACCACTAAATAATAAGGAAAATTCAAATTTAGTAGAAAATAGCTCTGACCGGAAAACTGCACGTGTGTTAAGGAGATCATCCAGACTGGAACAACTGAAAGTAAACCGAGATGTAAAACACACAGATGACATGTATAAGATGCCAGAAAAGATTTTACGAAAAATCCTTAGCTGTGAGAATCAAACAAATAATAACTCTTCAACTGAGAATTTCAGGTATGCTACCAAATTATGTTTCTCCCCAGGTATGCTGCAGACCTTGTAGATAATTATATACTTGGGGACATTAGGGTCAGTCTACAGTTAGCTAAAAGTAAAAAGCTTTATTTTTATTTTGCTGATTTTTTTTAAAGTTTTTTGTCAATGCCATACCATTAGAGTAAGCTCTTTTTCCTTGCAAAAGGCCTGCCTTTTGAATAGGTGAATAGAGTGGATAATAACATGCCAACTTGAGGATTGAGGGGCAAGAGACTCAGAATACTCACAGGCTTATAGGTAAAACCACCCTGTAGTGAAGAGAAACCCATAAGTGGCACAAAGAAAGGGCTAAAAGCCAAGATGACTGGCAGGCCTATCACAGAATTATCTGCAGTTTATTCAAGAGCCATCTCCATATTTAAAACTGCCATGCCATTTGAGAAAGTTCAGTAAAATAGCTTCAAGTTTTAAAATTGTAGTCAAAATTTCATATGATTCTCTTTGAATGCTTGTAGAAAATATTATAATAATTTCATAATACATTATTTTTCAAGAATGCAGGATCCTGCTTCAATGATTAAAGCTAAGGGGAAGAATATGCATTCATCCAGAGTCAAGAGTGGGGAACGGATCAGGAAAAATAAAATACTTACAGGAAAAAATGGTGAGGCATATTTTGAGTATTTCTCTATTTGTTAACTAAGTAATTTACAGAAACAGAATTTTGGTAGAAAGGATTCAAAGATTATCTATCTCAACTTTCTCATTTTACTAATGAGGAAACTGAAGTTCAGTTAAGGATTAACTGAGGTTAAGGATTTTTCCTAGCATCAAACAGCTCATTAGTAGCATAACTGAGATTTGATCCTGAACTCCTGATTGCTGGTATTTTTTCTATATTTCTACTTTTAAGAGAGTAGTTACAGAACTCTTTTCAAATTGAGATGTGTGACCAACCTAGCATAAGGCTATGAGAAAGCATGCCAGGAGGAAAAGAGGAAAGGACAAGGCAAAATTATTATTATTATTAGATCTTATTTTTGTATTCCTTTTCAACCCAAAAGATTAAACTAAAAAATTCAGAGAAACAGTAAGAGAATCTATTATAGGAACACTGGTTAAAAATATAATAATTAGTGAAGCAATTGGCAAAATTGAAATACAGATTGTAGAATAAATAATAATATTGGGCCGGCGCGGTGGCTCACGCCTGTAATCCTAGCACTCTAGGAGGCCGAGGTAGGCGGATTGCTCAAGATCAGGAGTTCGAAACCAGCCTGAGCAAGAGCGAGACCCCCGTCTCTACTATAAATAGAAAGAAATTAATTGGCCAACTAATATATATAGGAAAAATTAGCCGGGCATGGTGGCACATGCCTGTAGTCCCAGCACTTGGGGGGCTGAGGCAGGAGGATCACTTGAGCCCAGGAGTTTGAGGTTGCAGTGAGCTAGGCTGATACCACGGCACTCTAGACTGGGCAACAGAGTGAGACTCTGTCTCAAAAAAAAAAGAAGAAATATAATGCTCCTTTCCTGCCACCCACTCTTTTCACTTTACCCTCATCCCAAGAAGATAATGATGAAGAGCTACTTACTAAGAAAATTACCTGAAAGCCTTCTGTTTAGTACTTGCCTCAGGCCCACTTTGCTATACTTTCATAGGAGTGATTCAGCTAAAACTACAAACCACTCTCAAGATAACTGTGGGTGGTAACTCTAACTTACCTGCATAACTTGGCTGATTAACATTTCCACCTTTTTTTATACAATGACGAACAAGATCAACATCATCATGCAGAGCAGCCTTATATAGTAAGTTTTCTCCAAAAACGTTTTTCCGATTAATGCTAGAAAGAGATAATTCATTCATCTTCATTTTTTCTGAAATGAGGAATGAACAAAAGAAAAAAAATCCTTATTTGCATGTCAAGAATACTACAGACTACAAACTACAGACTTTAAGCTACAAACTTGGTAGGTATTGGGTTTCAGGATTAATTTAGTCAACAATGTAGAAGTGAGATATAATATATTATGAAAGAGTATTTCATCCATTAACCCAACTATAATGTTATTTACATACAAAAAAGAAAAAAAGACAAATGTCATTAGTTTAAAAATATTTATAGTAAACTATAAATCATGATAAGCAGTGTATGTCAATTAAAAACCCATGAAATGTACATGTATGAGAAGACAGATCTTTCCTTTCCTTTCTTCTTTCCTTTCTTTCCCTTCTCCTTTCTTTCTTTCCTTTCTTTCCTTCCTTTCCTTTTTTCCTTCCTTCCTTTCTCCTTTCCTTTCCCTTCCTTTCCCTTCCTTTCCTTTCCTTCCTTTTCCTTTCCTTTCCTTTCCTTTTTTCCTTTCTTTCTTTCTTCCTTTCTTCTTTTCCTTTCTTTCCTTTTCTTTCCTTTCCTTTCTTTCCTTTCCTTTCCTTCCTTTCCTTTCCTTTCCTTTCCTTTCCTTTCCTTCTCCTTTCCTTTCTTTCCTTTCCTTTCCTTTCTTTCTTTCCTTTCCTTTCTTTCCTTTCCTTCCTCTTTCCTTTCCTTCTTTCCTTTCCTTTCTTTTCCTTTCCTTTCCTTTCCTTTCCTTTCCTTTCTTTCCTTTCCTTTCCTTTCCTTTCCTTTCCTTTCCTTTCCTTTCCTT